ATAATGTCTTTTGGATTTAAGACAATTATATAACTAATGGACAACTTTGTAATGGATTTATCGGTTATTAATTCTGACCAAAAGTGAGTATAGTATTTCTTTTATTATAAATTATTAACAGAATTTTATAATTTTATTTTGTTGCTGTAAATGGATTTTTAATGAATATATTTTTTAAATGTACAATCTGAGTGAATCTTTAGTATTTTAGATGTCAATAAAAATATACGTTAAATATCATAAGGTTTATCACGTTTTAAACTATAAAAATTTAATTTAAATAAATTCAACTTTATTATCACTAATCTACAAAAGTAACACGAAGACTTATTCATAGTATTTACTGTATATTAAACAAATATTTTTATTACATAACATATTTTATGTAAAACAACACAAATCTATGATATGTTATAAACACATTTACATAAAATAATAATTTTGTTTTTATATTAATATTTCGAGTTTTATTAACAATCAAAATAGAAAATGATTGATTCACATGAGTAGATGTGTACAAAATTTTAAAAGGTTTAGATATATTTTAAGTCTATAATAAGATATTATCGTATAAGATATCATATGATTAAATAATTAATTTCCGATTACCTCAAACTTTAAAAAAATATTTTTTTAAAAGCAAACTTTAATTTTGTAAAGAGTAACATGAGTTGAGTAAATTTTAAATTATATTTACAAAAAACTTTCCAAGTGTATTATGGTAAATTAAAAATAAGTGCAATAAATGTAAACAAATGTCATTAAAGATTAAAATCAATACAAAGTGTGACTTAAGAAAAACACATAAAAGTGACATGAATTTGAAAATACATGTTATTCATTCGGATCACACATTCGTATCGAGACATTACAGAAACAATTTCTTTGCAACAATTCACGATAAATTGAATGAGTGAAATATAATACATTACTAAATAATTTATTAGTTTACAAAGTTCATTTATTCTTACATCTAAAAACTTTTAAGGTTTAATTCCCTGACAACTGTTTTCCAAACATCAATTTAAACAAAAGTTGTTTTGGAAACAATTTAGTTTGTTTGATTAGACTTCATTTGCATGTTTTCATATTAAATCTAGTATTAGGTAATTAGGCAACAAAGTTAGAAATACGCTATTATTTGGAAAATTTAGTAAACAAAAAATTACTTTATGCCTAAAGTATTTTTGCTAAATTTACCAGAGATTCACCAAAAAGATAAAAATTATGTGATTTTCATAAATAAGACAAAAGAGCATATGATTGAGTGGTCGCGATAAATATGAAATTAATTTTCCCAGTATTCTGTAACTTACACTAAAAGTGTAGAAAATTTTATATTTATATTAAAGATTAAATTAATTTACGTCATTATAAATAGATTGCAATATATTTTGTAGACTATTTTGTGAATAAATTACTTGAATTAACACGTACTCCGAAAAAGATGTTAAATGAGAAAATTTTGTTTTTAATTGCATTTAAATAAATATACAATAATTCAAATAAATCATCGATTGGTGTTTTTTACTCGCAAAAGTGTTTTATATAAAATGTAAAGATTGTAAAAATGACTTCAGTTGTAAAAATTGCTTAAATAAAACTTTTGATTTTATTTGTTTAGTTAAAGTTAAAAGTATTATTGATATTAATTGATCAAGTAAATAGTTTTCAAAATGAAATTTCGGTATAAATTGTTTAAAGAATTCAAATTTTATTGTTAATTGACTTAAATATTAATAATCAATGAATAGAAGCAGCGATTGGTGGACACAACGGACACCACTTGAGAAACGACTTGTCATATCCACTGTAACCTTATGTGCGGTTTCAGTGGTTTTAATATCCATTTTGGCATCTCTCGACTTAAAAGATAACATAACTATTATAAGCGACAAAAAGCGTCTTTTAAAGGCTAATGTTATGGAAATAATTGACGACAGAAAAGCTCTCAAATACGGCAACAAATCTCAAAACAATTCGTTTGACGTTTGTTTGACACCGACCTGTATTGGGGCTGGTATTTGATTGTTTGCTATATTACTATATTAGATACAATTAACACTTAGAAAAGCTTATTCTATGAAATTCTGTACTCTAATTGTATGTCCGTACAGCCCATACCTTTCTAAATAACATTGACGAAAGTATCTCCCCGTGCGATGACTTCTATAGGTGGGGGCACTCAAGAGATTTCTTTTGATACACAAACAGAAACTAATGTTTTATTTCCGTATTTTTGTTGTTTTAATTCAATTACTGACAGATTCTCTTGTGGCCAATGGCTCAACAATTCTATCATTCCTGATAATAGAGTAACCATTTCGACTACCGGTGCTATTATGGAGACCATGGAAATTCAATTTCGAGGCAAACCTTTATTTTGAGCTATTTATCTATGTTTAAAAATAGAAACCTTTTTTTAATTAAAACTAAATTTAGTTCATTTTTTTGTCTATAGCTTTAGTCGAGGAACCGGCAAAACCTGACGATATAATGGTTTTTAAAAATATCAAAAAAATGTACGAATCGTGTATGAATTTATGTGAGTTTAATTTATGTTGTGTCATTTTATAAATATACATTTTTAGATTTTTTATATTGATTTTGGAAATACTGTAATATTTGGAAATTTTCATGATTATTATGTAATCCTAAGTTATTCATCACTTTATGCATAGTTTTTTGTGTGTAGAACTTGTGCACTAAAAATAAAACATTAGCAGACTATCTATTTAGTATTATTATACATTAATTATTGAATATACCATTCAGTGATTTTAATTGAAGGCCAATTATTAGAAACAATTATTTTTCACCTATGTTTTTATATTTATACATTAAATAAATATAGCTTATAGATAATTTGCATAAATTATAATATTTATATTTATTTATGTATTTTATTAACTTGCAAGTTAATGTTGTGCATTTATATTATTTGTTAGCAAACAGTATTTATATTTATACATTTGCTTCATAAATCTCCACTACACTCAATTTTGGTTTAAACTTTTCAAATAATATATGATACAATATTTTTATTTTTTGGTTTAAAATAAAATAGTATTGTCTAGTATTGGTAATATTATTCAGCATAACATTTTGAGTAATACTAGTATATAGATATTTTATTTGGTAAAATATTTAAATAAAATTTTATTTAAGTTACTCTTAGTGCTTAGCAATAATATAAAAATTGCATGAAATTTAGAGTATTAATAAAAAAAATTACTGGGGTTTATGGTTTAAATAAATACACATTGTAGAACTATAATAATCCAATTAATAGAATTTAATTTATTATCGCATTGAGAATAACATCATTTTTATAATTTGTTCATTTTACTGTTAATAGGGATTAACCAGTACACTATTAAATATACAGAATTCATGGAAGAAAATATTTATTTAAAATACCTAGAATATTAATACCTATATTACTATATTATTATTACTATATTACTATACCTATATTAGTAATGAATACCTTTATTAAAATTCTAGTTAAAACTTGTAAAAATAATATTATTTACATTATATAATAATTAATTATAATAGACAAATTGAAATTAATTATTATTATAAACAGTACACCAACAAGCAAGTAACACTATACTAAACATGTATATAGTAAGTTAAACCCTTAAAATATTCTTAACAGATTATTTTTAACATAATATTTTAATTAAAGTTACTTGAAAAATAAAATCTCATGATTTTATTGTTTTGTGTGATTTTATTTTTTAATATCTTATGTAACATAAACCTTATTAATTAATTGTAATATTATGTAATTAATATTTATAAAATAGAGTTTTATAGCCAGATTTTAAATCTTGTTAAAAATTAAGTTTTAAAAATAGATATAATAATAATTTTAATACTGTATATCAAATACAAAACACCATTAATATTATACTATATTACAGCACAACTCATTCATTTGGGTGACGACCCATTGATTGAAATATTGACGGCGTTGGGCGGTTGGCCCGTGGCTCGGGGTCCTTATTGGAGGGGCACTCAGTTTGATTGGATCGACACTAACATCAAGATGAGAGAAATGGGTTTACCATTTCAAGAGTTTTATCACATTTCTGTCGGGCTGGACATCAAAAACAATACTAAACACATAATAACGGTTAACACGTGTTTAATCTAATTTCACAGATAATTAATTACAAAGCAATTATAACACAAATAGATAGGAGAGATATTACCGGGAGTGGGCGACAGGAATGTTATGTTAAAAGGTTTTGATGAGCCAAACGTGAGGGCATACTATGAACTGCTGGTCGAAAGTGCTCTACTTCTTGGAGCAAAAGATTTTAATTTAAATCCATTTAATGAAATAAAGGACTTAATTAATTTTCAAATACAAATAGTGAACGTAAGCACACATTTTAATGGTCTAATTAATTTGGATGTCATGTTTGAAAAGACATTTTTTGGTCATCATTTCAGTGGACAAAACCGCAGGAAGAGACGCGAAACATAAGCAATCTTTACAACAAAATGACTGTTAAAGACTTGCAATTAATTGCTCCAAATGTGAGACAATTTATGGCTTTTAGTTAATTAGAGCGATCGCATCTAAACTGATTTCAATATTTCGCAGACAAAATGGGTTAGACTTTTGAGCGGAGTCTTCAAACAAGCCGTTCATATGAGTGATGAAGTGATGGTTAATAATCCTAATTATGTCAAACAAATTGATTCCATGATTAAAGCAACGGATAATCGGTATTATAATTTATTGTCTCACTAACTACACTATAACTTACAGTAATTCAATAAATCTTAATTATATGTTATGATTAATACTAACGCTAAATATAATTGGACAAAATATTATTAAAAACAAATGATTAATAGTAATATTCTCTACAATATAAACCTATTAATTATGCTATACTTTGTAATACAGAAAGTTGTGTAATTCATTTCACAACACATAATAATCTGATTTAACTCTTGTTTTTAAAGAGTATTAGCAAATCACATGATAGCCGATGTAATCCTAAATAGTCTTCCACTACTTCACCCAAAATGGCTTCAATTACACGACTTTTATTTGCATCGGATTACTGGCCGGAAGGCAGTGCCCCCGCGTTGGTACATATGCACCAAATCGGCCGCCACTCTGAGCGCCGCCTTTTCGGCACTTTATGTCCGCAAATATTTTCACAGCGAAAGCAAACACAAAGTAAATGAATAATTATGGGAAAGGCATCGTTTGCTAAATGAATATCAATTACTTGTATTAAAAGGTCGAAGAAATGGTTAACTTTATTCATAAGGAGTTCATTCAAATGCTTAATAGTGTTGAATGGATGGATGAGACCACAAGACTACAGGCGTTAGACAAAGCAAAGGCTATAACAAGTCATATAGGATTTCCTAAACAATTACTGAATGACAGCCAAATCGCAAAAATATATGAAAACGTAAGTCAAGAGAAAACAAATCCTTTATTATATACACGAGAGTTATCTCTCAACTGAATATATTTTTTCAATTTGTTTTTATTTTCAAGAAATAGATTTTCTTTTTCCATTTTTGGGAACAAAAACAATATAAATATTTTAATTAATTTTCTTTTTGTTTTCTTAGTTCTGTAAGTCTTAACTGGATTTAAAGATAAGACAGGTCTTTGTGGCCAAACATTTCTATTGTGGTTTCAATCATAGCTTAATTGACCTTTTCCTTCCCGTTTTATTATAGTCTACATATCATTTCGGAAAGGAAAAGCCAGATGCTATTTTTTCATATGACATGGGTTTTATTAATTAATTAAATGACAATCGTTTGACATTGAAAACTTAATAATAGAGACAAAAAAAGCTTTAAATTAGCAAGCTTACAAAATACTGTATTTGTAAGTTCATAATTTAAAGCTTTTGGTCTCCATTACTAAATTTCTAATGTTAAACAATTGTCATTTAATTAATAAAACCTATTAATAGCTTTTAGATAGCTTGCTAAATTTACTAAAATAAACGTAGAATATAATATGATACTTCCCACTGTACAGTATAGTATAATATACATATTATGAAATTTAAATTTAAAATTTATTTTACTTCACTATAAGGTTCTATAAAATTTATTTAATACTGTACAATATTCCTGTATAATATTTAATACACAATGTACCTATATCCAGGAACATTATTAAATATTATAGTTCTATAGTTTATACTAGGTTAAAATTAAAAATTAAGGTGCAAAGGTATTTAAATCTCATTTTTAAATATGAATTAATTCATTAAATTCTGAATACATAATAGTTGCAAGAATTCAGTGCCGATCAATATTTCAAAAATATGCTCAAAACGAGTAAATGGTTAACAGATTTCTCGTCGCAAAGTCTGACACAAACACGACTAAAAGGAGAGTAAGTAATATATGAAAGGTTGACATGGGTGCTATTTAAAGAGATGATAGTTTAGAAACATGTCTTATTTAAATAAATAGGAAAATTACAAAATGTATTAACAAATATCTTATAAATTCTAACCAACTAAAATATATAACTCAATGACAAATTCTATGACCTAATTATTAAATAAAATGAATGAATTTCTGGGTATTTGAATTCAATAGTTTCAGAATAATCCTATTACTGTTATATTTATAATAGTTGAATTACTTCATATTAATAATAAGACTTACAAATAGCTTTTAATTAAGATTATGATTATTATGCATATTGTGTAAAAAAATCTTTTGACATACCATTATGTAAGTTTTATATTTATGAATCATAACTTATGATTTAACAAGTAATCGGAATAGTTAAATGCGGTATAATCATGGAATATTTTATGTAATCATATATTTTTCTAATATCTTACTAATGAATAATGAATATTAGAGAACTGATTCAATAGAATGGATACTTAAATGTTATTTTTATTTTTCTTATAACTCATTAAAAAAGTTGGCGTAACTTTGCGGAGACAACGGTAGTGAACGCATATTACTCTGCGATAGAAAACGCTATCATATTTCCGGCAGGAATTCTGAGGGGAATGTTTTTCAATTATAATAACCCTAAGTATTTATATCATACTAAACTAATTAAATATATAGTCGTAATTATTATACATTTTGTGCCATTAGTTATTTAAACTTTGGTGCCATCGGGACAGTGATCGCACATGAGATCACCCATGCATTCGATGACATCGGAAAACAATTTGATAAAAATGGAAATAATAAGAATTGGTGGGCAAAAACCACTGATGATATGTTTAAAAATAGGACACTTTGCCTTATAAATCAATACAATAATTATGTCTTACCTGATATCCAGAGAAATGTAAGCATTAATTAACATCTCTATTTGATATCTAAAAGATTTAATGATTTAAAAAAAAGTTAAACGGAATCAACACTTTGGGAGAGAATATCGCCGATAATGTAGGGGTGAGGGAGGCGTTCAAAGCATACCAGGCTTATGCTAAACTTTATCCCAAAGAAAAGATGTTACCCGGACTCAAATATACACCGGAACAGCTATTTTGGATTACATACGGAAATGTATTAGAAATATAATTACTATAAAATGTCAATTAATTAAATGACATTTTGTTAGGTTTGGTGCAGTCGGACGAGGCCTGAAGTATCGAAAATGTTTATCGATAAGGAAACCCATAGTCCGGCGCGATTTAGGTTTATAAATAGCATATTTGATTAAATTGTGAAATGTGTCTAATTATTTGATAGGGTTATCGGAACGGTCTCTAATTTGGATGAGTTTTCACAGACTTTTAATTGTCCGAAAGGGAGTCCAATGAATTCAATGAGTACTAAATGTAATGTTTGGTAATAGTATCCAATTCTGTTAACACACATTTACAATTAACTTAAGTTGCGATTTACTTAATGTAAAATGGACTAATTTGTAATTCTTGTATATATTTATTTGTAAACATTTTAATATTTTATAATAAAACATTTTTATGATAACATTTGTATAATAGTTATAATAGTTATACTTTAAAAGCAATGATTTTAAAAGCTTATTTTGTTTTTAATATATGATATACTGTAAACCAAAATATAGAAATCATAAAGTTCTATCATACAAAATGTATGCTTCCTAAATATTAAATTGAAACATAAATATTTGTCTAAATATTATGAGATTTACGTTGTAAATGCAAATATATTTAGTATACTTTTAATAAATGTAAATAACTTTCTATTTAATGTTCTTAGAATTTATTTAAATATTTTATTCGAGATAACAAAAGTTTTTAAAAATTAAAAATCAATAAATAAAATAGGATTATATGAAACGGTGACATAAATTCTGTGAGTATATCAAATAAAAACAAAGTTAATATTGCTTTAAATGTTATACTGTACAGACATATTGTAAGCAGAGTTGAAGTCACCCTTTTATTCCTTTCATTCCCCTTTCAAACAGTGATTAGTAATTTTGCATGCTATTTTAACATAACTAAAAGCTAATGGCAATCTCGAAAATATTCATTTTTATCGTATAAATGCATAGTAATGATGGATACAATTGTCAAATGATTTACTTATCAAAAGGCTCTTAATTGTTGTATACAATGATATCGCATATTATTTGATTCTTTTTAATATTATAAATAAAATTTCAAAAATTTATTCAAACTATTTAATCTTTAGAATTATTAATTACATTCAAGAAATCGCGTACAAAGTCTAAAAAGATTTGTTGGCATTTCTTTCAAACTCTAACTATTCATGAAAATCCACAAAAACTTCATTAAAAAGAGTCCGTTATAAATGAAAGTCAATTAAGTTGTTTAATATATTTTAATTCACAAGTAGGCATTCAAATGAGCTGTCATTCATTTATTCATGCATTCATTCATTTATCTAAAAACTTATAGTCTGAATATAGTCCGAGAAAAACTATTTTATTTGGCTGTCATTTGTTTGCATTTAGGTATGAAATATAGTGTTAGCGAAGATGTTGTGTTAGCACTGAATCGATACAAACACTATTCCCTTGACTTTCAATCTTTATTTTTACCCTATTTTATCAGTATATCTAACTGTATATAAAGGTACACTACTCCTACTAGTTCATCATTTATACTAACTTATTAATAGTGAAGTTAATTCACACTCAAATCGACTCAAATTTCATTTTATGAAACTTTTTAAAAATGATATTTAATTTGAAGCATTTCTTAATCAATAAATAACTCACAAATTTGTCATTGGTTACAATTATTCATTTTATTAATTTATAATAAAAAATTTTTTTTACAAATATCACAAAATTAAGTTGAATTAAAAAATAATTGAATCCAAATGTATGTAAATGTCAAGCAACTTTTTCTAATCCCAAACATGACAGTATTTTATGTGAGCAACTATTAAATTCAGAATATAATTTATTTAAATCTCATAAATTAATTTCAATGCACAAAGTGCTCAGAATTTTTGCTTCAAAGGGTTAATAATATTAATCTTAAATCTGAAATGCATCAACAGGTTGTCTATAATATAGATTGTCATATTATGACTGTTTAGACATAATACTATAATTTATAGTCTATATCTGATGTTGGAAAGCAAAACCAGACTTATAGATGCATATGAATTTAAAAATCGTTCATTACTTTCGAGTAAAGTATAAAAGTTAATAAAGTTTAATATAAGTAGCATGTATTGTACATAACTATTTTATTACTATGTTTGTGTTTGTATTTATTAGTACAATGCATGCTACATATATTTAACTTTATTAACTTTAATACTTTACTCGAAAGCAATGAACATTTTTAAAAATTCATATACAATCCATAAGTCTGGTTTTGCTTTCTACCATCAGATATATAGATTCTTTATAATTTTAAATTATTATCTTAAAATAACAATCATTCTAATGCATATAAATTTCTTAGTTTAAATGTAATATTCAATTTATTTAATTTAATTTAATTTAATTTTATTTACATTATAATTTTAT